TAAGTTGTTAATAGGGGAAGCTCAGTGTGGGGTATGTGGGAACTTTGTACTACCTTTGCAATTTTCCTATAAATCTCTAACTTCTAAAATAATAAAGATTTTTTAAGTGTAAAGTGCAATTTTTTTAATTGTATGAAAAGATAATTCTGCTTAAGTACTTTTGTGTCGCGCGCCCCGTCCTCGCCGGCAAGAACAGCACGCAACAACAGCAGGATTCTTCTGCAGAAAGCTTTATTCTTCAGCTCTTTGTGAAACAAATGAGTTGGGCAGGACCCAGAGGGGAAGGAGAGGCTTGCTTATATAGTTCTCATGCTCTGACCTGGTTGGTGCGGCTCCATATGCCTTATTAGCATAACCATTTGGTGGGTCTCATTGGTCCTTATGCCAAGGCGCAATTAGCATGTAGTTTAGTGGTGTGGGATGATTTGTCATTAGGAAGTTCGGGGCCTTCCGGCTGCCCTGCATTGGGCGCTATTTTCTGAGCGCGGCTGCCAACACTTTTGGAAACAATGCACCAGCATGTTGGAACTTTCAATCCCCTTGAATAAATATGACTTTTTTTGCCTTCTTTTCACATAAATCTGAAACTTATGTTAACCTGTCTCAGTGGCACAATATATGGAGATACTTGGGTTTTGCTTCATGACCTCAGGGAAATGTATTTTGTTTTGGAAACTAAAAGGTCATTAATACAATTTCCAAGTTGAGAATGAATTGTTTTCCTATGGTTTACATTTAAATCAAATGTTTGAAACTCAAAACTCATTTTCCCACAGAAATGTTATTACAAACTGTAGTTAATTCCCAGGCTAGCCCGATGAAGCTCATTGAACTCGTAATAAGAAATAGACATTTGGAATGAAAATAGTATAAAACTGTGTTATGAAAAAAACTTGCCTTTTAAATGCAAGAAATTAACATGCAACTTAAATGTATTTCTAATCAAATCTAGCCCATGATGTCTGAGCCAGGGGCTCACTTGGGACGTCTTGACATATAACCTTAAACACTGCAAATGGGGAGGAGGAGAGTGGAAGGTGTTCAGCTTGGATGGGTGGGAGACGGAGAGGCCCTCCGCAGTCTGGGAAGGAAAGTATCTTGTTTAACCCAGACTCAGCTGAGTGCATGTCTACTCAGAGTGCTGGGAATATAGTGACTTTGGGTACCCACAGGATGAGGGGAGGGACAGAGGGGACTTTGGCTTCTCACTGTCTAGAATCATTAATGTGCTGCTATCCAGAGAATGGCTAACAGGCCACGTCGGCAGGCACCTGCTGAGCAGGAATGACCAGTCGGCTGATTTGATGCTGGTGGTTGAGCACACAGGTGGTTAACAGCTGGCAGTGGACCTGGGCTCCTCACAGCACTGGCTGCCTAGCAGAGGACAGAGAAAGTGGACTCACAGAGGAGGCCCTTGGAAATGCCAACAGTGTGAAGAAGTCATTCCAACAAAAAGCATCAGGAGAGAAAACAAAGGTGAGCAGTAGAAATGAAGCTTCTCGCAGTGGTGCCAGCCAAAATGTCAGACCCAGCTGTGGTCACCGTTGCTACAGCACAGTAGGCCTACGTTTGATGTATTTCATGTTTGTCTATCCAGCTTTTTTTTTTTTCTATCCAGCTTTGAGGAGGCACTTCACAAATAATCCTGTTTCTAAACACACTTGCTAAATAAAATAAGGAAATATTATGCCACAAAAAGAACTATAAAAACTTCTCAGAAGCATATTTAAAAACAAATGTATTTTTTAATCATGTATTTTCAATTATTTTTTAAAACCATTATACATAATTTTTGTAACTCATCATGGGCTTAAACAAAAACATTTTAACTGCTCTTCTCCCTCTACAGATAACCTCTCCACCATTGCTTACAACGTGGGAGGGAGGCATCCTTTCATACCTTTCTTAATTTTTATACCATTTTATAAAACATAATATGTAGTGTTATCTTAAAGGCAAATCTTAATAGGTTTGATATACTATACCATAGATATGCCATATTTATTCATCCATTTCATTATCGGTAGGTATTTGCTGTGTATTTTGCTTTTTGCCACTGGAAATTCTACAAAATCTTCATACAGAAGTCTTGTTATTTAAGTTCATTCTAACTTACTATGGTGACAAACACTCCAAAATCTCACCAGCTTGCCACAGTAAAAAGTGTCTCTAGGTTCCACCACTGCCCAACACAGGTCAGGCTTATTGTGAAGTTTACTTCCAATAGCGATTCAGAGATCCATCTTATGGTTTCAATAGTCCTTCACTTCCAGCAGTAAGGATGGGAGAAAGCTTGGAAGATGACTAGAAAGGCCTTCTGACGAAGACTGGCCGTGGGTTAGGACACTAAGATTCCATTGGCTACTACCCAATCATGAGGTCCCAACCTAACTGCAGGGAGGCTGGAAAGGCAGTCTTCCTGTGTGCCCAGAGGAAATGGATAAGCATGTAGCCTTATATTGGTGCCTTTATTCCAGAGGACTTACTTCTGGACTGTGGAATTTCTATATGAGGTGTGTATATGGAAGTGTGTGATCACTTTGCAAAAAGACCTAACTCTTATCTCTGTCAGTAGTTAAGAATACTCAGCACCATTCTTGCTTTTCTAAATCTGCTCTCCAAAGGTGCTCAAAGACTAGAAACTCAGTTGACGATATTCCTGTTTCAACAGGGTATAATTCCCACCAACGAGGCTTAAAGAAAATCAAGGTAGACATTTCATTTCTACTGCTCACCTTTGTTTTCTCTCCTGACGCTCCATGTTGGAACATCCTCTTCGCACCCTGTTGGCACTTTTGAGGGCCTCCTCTGTGAATCCACTTTCTCTGTCCTCTGCTAGGCAGCCACTGCTGTGAGGAGCCTAGGTCTGCTGCCAGCTGCTGCCACCTGTGTGCTCAGATCCCACCAGCATCAAGTCAGCCGACGGGTCCTTCCTGCTCAGCAGTTGCCTGCCAGCATGCCCTATTCCCCACCCTTTGGATAGCAGCATATTAATGATTCTAGATTATGAGAAACCAAAGGGTGAAGAAAGTGAGCAGCTTTATTTCATAACATGTTGAGAGGCAGAAACAGCACTGGCCAGTCTTCCAGCCAATGCCCTGCATTGTGCAGATTACTGGGAGTGGCTTTCCCTGAAATTCCTAAACTCCCGGATTTCCTAGAAGCCAACGATGATTTTCTACTGACTTGCTCCCTCAGTTTTTCTCACAGTTTAGTGAGCATCTGATTTCTTGTATAAAATCTCTTTCTACTTGAAATATTTAAATTAACTTATTTTCTAGACCAGGAACTGATACAACATCAACCTGACACTTTTGTCTTTATGATCCATTTTTCCACACATAATTTTTTTTGTTTTTAAAAATGTTTATTGAAGCATAGTTGATATGCAATATTGATTTCTTTTTATTGGATTAAAGAAGTATTAATCTCTTCCTAGTATTCCAGGCATTTTAATAAAAAATGAGTCCTGAACTTTTTCAAGCACCTTTTCAGCACCCATTGAGATTATAGTTATTTTTGTTTGACCTTTTGCCATAGTATATTTTATATATATTTTTTCTTACAGTAAATTGTTCTGTATCCCTGTTATATATCTTACTTAGTCAAAAGGTACTATTGAATTCTGTGTCTTACCATTTTTTTAAAACTCTTCCACCAGTATTCACAAATGAATATAAATGAATATGCAGCGTTTCCATACTGGTGTTTTAGAATATCTGCAGAACATCAAATACATTTGGAAAACATGTGGATAAATGCCTTTAATAGGGTTTCTTTATTGCAGAGATCCTTCAATATGCAAATGTACACTGAATCTCCAAGGGGAAAATATTAGAATTCTCCACATTTATCCCACCACAGAACACATTTTTCAAGTCATACCTATCAAGCGAACAGTGTTCGATAATGTAGAAATGTGTTACTTGGAAAACCCTTGGGAAATTCTTTTTTTTAATTTTATTTTGGTATCATTAATCTACAATTACATGAAGGACATTATGTTTACTAGGCTCCCCCCTTCACCAAGTCCCCCCCACGTTCCCCTTCACAGTCACTGTCCATCAGCGTAGTAAGATGCTATAGAATCACTACTTGTCTTCTCTGTCCACACATAATTTTTTGATTCTATATTTCAAATATATTTGTTTTATATTATAGCTATGGAGTTGCTGTCTTCAAAAGCCTTAGTTAACATAAATATTCTGTAAAACTTCTAATTTTTACCTTTTATATTTAAATCAATCCATCTGGAAGTTACTTTTGCTTATGTTGTGACTGCTAGTATCATTCATCAAATTATCAAATTTTCTTATGCGACTGAAAATGCCATCCTTGTTTTAGGTGTCTTGTATCTAGGCCACCAGGCTCACTCCAGTGATCTATTTGTTTTCTCCTAAGCAATGCTATATAGTATAGATTGCTGTCGATTTATAAAATATTTTAACAACTGGCTTATAAATTTAAATTTGACGGAGTTCATGTTAACACAATAATCTGTGCTACCACGATGACTCAGTTGTATAAAGAACTCAAAACTACTTTTCTATCTCTGTGCATGTATTTGAACTTTCTACAAATATTAACAGAAGCAACCAAATGCTTGGCTAATATAAGGGAGCAATAATTAATCCTAACCTGATTCCAAATGTTTGAGAAGCCTTACTCTCCTCACTGATTGTTTTTATAATAAGTGACTGTTATAAAATGGAGTTTATAATGTTATTCTAAACAAATTTGCATTTCTATATGACTCATTATATGGTTTTATTTGTAAAATCCATTTGACAAATTACCATTACCACTAAGCTTAAAACTATCAGTTTAATACCTAAACTTCTGTTGTCTTCAATGTCTGTCACTCACCTATTTGTCTGATTTCTTACTGAGATGTAATTCACATAGCACAGAGTTCACCTGTTCAAGTGTTCAATTCAGTGGCTTTTAGCATATTCACAAAGTTGTGCTTTGGTCACCGTTCTCGTGTCTTTTTATTTAAAAAAAAAAAATGGAAAACCAAAAGTACATTTTTCACTTAATAAATATCATCTGTTCCTTATGCAGTTTTGATGCAGAAAGTGAAGTCCATGATCTTAGAATGTGATAGTAACTTATCAACCAAGAACCAGTTTTCACACAGTTTCAATAACTGCAGCAATTTCTTTGAATTGTCTATAGAAATTCTGGAGAGAAAAGAGGAAAAATAATATTAATGTTGCTTTTAGAAGAAATTTTAAGTAGTTCTTTTACTTAGATCTGACCGTCAGAGGCTATATAACACATTAAGTCTGCATTTTAACAGTAAATCCTCAACTACTGTTACTGGAGAGCTACCGTAAGAAACAAAACAGGTGCAATTTGGTACTGCAAGCAAAAATATTATTGTGGAACTGGAGAATTAGCTGACAACAGAACTTTTTAAAAATACATGAGAAGGTTCTTTTGAGATCACATCAAAAAGACTTATTAAATACCCAGCACTACCCCTAGACAATGAAGATAAAAACAAAAATGACAGTCTGTTCCCAGGCTCCAAACGACTTCAAATCTAACAGAAGACTGCATTCCAGGATAGCAGGAGTTTTCTTGTTGAAGACATGGGTTCACAGACAGTGAGGGACCCAACACTGACAACGGCTTATATGGTAGAAGCTTATTTCTCTTTCATTTAAAAACTGAGCTGCTATGGTAGTTCTCCTGTAGAAGTCATCTTTTTTAAAGTCTCAGATAGAAGAAGCAAACAAATTCCATTTTCTTTTCTTCTCCTCTACCTGCCAGGAAGCTAGGAGGCAAATATGAAACTTAACCTCAACTATTAGGATACCCTCTAATGGTTTACATATTTGTATTTTCCTTCCTATTTGGTCTTCTTTATATCTTGCTACTTACGAGTATATGTATTTTAATTTATATGTAAGTTCATTAAGGAATGAAGCTGGATATAACTATTTCTTTAAAAATATATACTGATAAAAATATCAGCTTTAAGAAAGATATAAATTAAAGTTCAAAGAATATTAGCTCTCAGTCCTATAATGTAGCTAACAGGCTGTCTTCCTGGTTAGCTTTTAAGCCATGTAGAAGTTACCTTTAAAGAGCTGACCATTTGTGATTTTTTTCCTATAAGAAAAACATTTCCTAGAGGTGGAATCTGAGAACATGAATGCTGCATAGAAAAATAAGAATTAGGCCAGGATTACAATAAGGATTGAAACTTATATTCTCTTTATTCAATTCTTGTTTATTTTTCTTTTGTACCTCATACAGTTTATTGTATGTCAGTTTTTTGTTTTTGCTGTTAATTAATTAAAAATTTTTGGTATCATTAGTACACACTTACATGAACAACATTATGGTTACTAGATTCTCATTATCAAGTCCCCACCACATACCCCATTACAATCATTGTCCATCAGCGTAAGATGCTATAGAATCACACTTGTCTTCTCTGTGCTATACTGCCTTCTCTGTAACTATCCCCCTACAGTATGTATACTAATCATAATGCCCCTTTTTCCTCTTATCCCTCCCTTCTCACCCATCCTCACCAGGCCCTTTCCCTCTGGTAACTGTTAGTCCGTTCTTGGGTTCTGTGAGTCTGCTGCTGTTTTGTTCCATCAGTTTTTGCTTTGTTCTTATACTCCACAGGTGTGTGAAATTATTTGATACTTGTCATTCTCCACCTGGCTTATTTCACTGAGCATAATACCCTCTAGCTCCATCCATGTTGTTGCAAATAGTAGGATTTGTTTTCTTCTTATGACTGAATAATATTCCACTGTGTATATGTACCACATCTTCTTTATCCATTCATCTACTGATGGATACTTAGGTTGCTTCCAATTCTTGGCTATTGTAAATAGTGCTGCAATAAACATAGGGGTGCATATGTCTTTTTGAAACTGGAATCCTGCATTCTTAGGGTAAATTCCTAGGAGTGGAATTCCTGGGTCAAATGGTATTTCTATTTTTAGTTTTTTGAGGAACCTCCATGAATCAGTTCTTGTTTTAAAGACTACCCACATATCACAATATATCATTTATCTCCTTTTAACCAAGTCCTAATTCCTTCCAAGACCAACCAGCATTAACAATATTGAATCTGTGACCATTATTTTTGTTTTAAAGCACAGATACCACTTTTAAAAAGAAAGAAATCAAAGGGAAAATAAACCCTTAAAATGTAATTCGTAAATCAGAACTAACACATGATCCAGCAATCCCACTTTGGGTATATATATACCCAAAGGAAACAAAACCACTATCTCAAAGAGATATCTGCACCACCAAGTTCACTGCAGCATTACTCACAGTAGCTAAGGTATAGAAACAACTTCAGTGTCTTTTGACAGATAAATGGATAAAGAAAATGGATGAAGAAAACAGAATACTACTCTTCTGTAAAAAGAAGGAAATCCTGCTATTTTTGATAACATGAATGAACCTGAATTCCATTATGCTAAGTGAAATAAGCCAGACACAGAAAGACAATTATTGAGTGATCTTACCTACATGTAGAATCTAAAACAGTAGAGCTCATACTAATAGAGAGTAGACAATGGTTAGCAGGCCCGGGGAGGAGGGTAAATGAGATAGATGTTGGTCCAAAGTACAAACTTTCAGTCACACAGTAAGTTCTGGGGACCTAATGTATAGTATGGTGACTACAGTTGATAATACATGGTACACTTGCAATTTACTAAGAGAGTCATCTCAAGTGTTCTTACCACACAGATGCACAAAAAGGCACCTATGACATGTAATGGATTTCTTAATTAACTTGATTGTGGTAATCACTTCACAACTTATACATACACCAAAACACCACATTTTATACCTTAAATGTATTCAATTTTTGTCAATCATACTTCAGCATAAAGCTGGGGAACAGTGCGGTTTTTGACAGAAGAAATAAAAAACATCTTAAAGTAGTGTATGAGAGGCTTTCTTAAAATAAGGAAGTGTAGGACCAGTTATTTTTAGTTAGTTTTACAAAGAATTCTCATATTTCCATTTCATTCATTATGGCTGCTTTTCTTAGAGTATTAACTACAGTGAAAATTCTTATCTATTTACTCACCCAAAGGCATGAAAACAAAAAAATTCTAAGACCAGTTGTATCAATCGACGATGACAAAACATTTTCCTGTATGGTTATTTAAAAGAAAACCTAATTTCACACCCACACCCATTTTGCTTCCTTATTACAGAAAAGATGTAGGATGGTAATATAACATGACCCTTAATATAAACTATTTAGTTACTCAAGCCTTCAGCAATAAAACTGGTCATCAAGAACACATGTTCTGATCTGCATTTTATAAACATTACTAGTCAGAAAATGCAGGGTCAGCACTGCTCAAAGATAACATTCATTTAGCTTATCATACTTGAATAATAAGCCTACAAAGCATAAGAATTAAATAAATGCAAAGGAAATGTCTGCCAGAGAAGATGAAAATTTCCGAAATATACTCACCGAGGGGTACTGTGAGAGTGATATAATGGTACAGTACTCAATTCAGCATATTACATCAATAATATTGAACATAATTGATCAAATTCCCAAAGAAAAAAAGTTGATCTTTTATGTGCACTAATAAATAAAGCACATCAAAACTGTAAATGAAACAATTGTAAAATTTTCCTTTAAGAAAGATTTTATACGTCTCTTAAAGCAGCAGTTACAGAACAATGAACTAAAACTGAATGAGTTAAATTACAAACCTGAAATTGTGGAATTGTCATTTCAAAGGACTTGTTCTTTATTTGGCCTGAATGATCTGCCACTTTTAGCAACACTGCTACATAAGGATACTTCAGTGATTTGCAACTGTCCGAGCTCACAGCCATCCCCAGTTTCCACTGAAAATCTATAAGCTGTAATGAAACAGTACAAAACAATACACTGGTGATAACACTGCCTGGAATATATATATTTTTCAGTTCTACTGCTTTCACATTCAACTTTTAGTTTCAATGCCAGTCAAATAAAAAGAAAAATCTTCATTTTAATATTGCCAGGGGAACAACAATAAAATGAGAATGAAAGAGGCAATAAGGGATATAAACAGAGGTAGAAAACAACGCTGTCTTATTACAAAACAAAAAAGCAAAAACAAAACTCTCCACCAGATGTATAATGGAAGTAGAAGGCAGATGTGGCAATACTAGCTTTCCTTTTATTTTGCTCTTGCACTTAAAGGGACTCCAGATGCTTTAGAGCATCTCACTTTCCTGTTCCATATATGCCTTCTCCATTCCACAACCTAAATGTCCTAAAAGGGAAAATGAATCATTTACCATCTTCACAAGTGACTGAGGCACACATGGAAGCCATTCCAGTTCCTTTCCTCACCATGGTCTCCAACCTGAAACCTGATACTAGCAGAAGTACTAGGTGATATGGTGGTTTTAGATTTCATCACTCTTGATGATAGACACCTGTCAGGTGATGTGCTTGGCAATATACATGCATTAAATGCCTCACTGAACCATTGTAATATTATAGGCTATTATTTCTATCTTGCAGATGACAAACTGAATTTCAGAGAGCTTAGATAATATGCAAGCGGTCATACACTTCTGATTAGTACTGAAACCAAAGTCTGATTCATGCTTATTGACCACTAACTGCCTCAATATTTTGAATCTAAATCCTGTCAATGATTGTTCATTGTTGCTATGGCATAAATCAGGATTAGATGCAGCTCTTAATACTGACTCTAAAATATAAGACTGTGATTGGAGGAAATCTGTTTCTTGTTTCCAAAGCTTAAAGAAGTACATGGTACACAGCAGGCACTCACAAAATAGAACTGTTGATTGACCAATACATTTTACTACCAAATTAATGTTGATAGGGCAAAAAGCTTTGCTTGTTAACAAGTCTTCTTATAAAAGGTGGGATATTTTTATAAACAAGATTCTTCAATGCTGTGTGTAAGAAACGCACTTTAGATGTAAAGACACACACAGACTAAAAATGAAGGGATGGAAAAAAGATATTCCATGCAAATGGAAACCAAAAGAAAGGTGGTGTAGCTATGTTTGTATCAGACAAAACAGAGTTTGAAGCAAAGACTATAATAAGAGACAAGGGCATTACATGATTAAAAGGTCAATCCAACAAAAGGATTTAATACTTGTAATCATTTATGCATCCAACATAGTAGCACCTAAATAAATAAAGCAAGTATTAACAGACCTAAAGGGAGAAATAAACAGCAATATAATAGTAGGGGACTTTAACATCCTATTTATATGACTGAATAAATCATCCAGACAGAAAATCAATTGAGAAACATCAGCCTTAAATGACATGTTAGATCAGATGGGCTTAACAGATATTTACAGAACATTCCATCTAAAAGCAACAGTATACACATTCCTCTTGAGGACACATGGAATATTTTCCGGGATAGGTCATATTAGGACATAAAACAAGTCTAATAAATTTAGGAGGAATGAAATCATATCAAGCATCTTTTCTGAACACAATGGTATAAAACTGGAAATTACATGAAGGAAACTTGAAAATTTACAAACTATGTGGTGATTAAACAGCATGCTACTGAATAAGCAATGCATCAAAGTAGGAAAAAAAAATAAAAGAATACCTTGAGACAAATGAAGATAGAAATGGAACATACCAAAACTTATGAGATGCAGCAAAAGCAGTTCAAGAGGGAAGTTCTAATAGTGAGAAATGCCTACCTCAAAAAATAAGAAAAGTCTCAAATAAACAACATAACTTTACACCTCAAGGAATTAGAAAAAGAACAACCAAAGCTCAAAGTTTGAAAAAAGGAAATTACAAAAATCAGAGCAGAAATAAATGAAATAGAGACTAAAAAGGCAATAGAATAGATCAGAGCTCATTCTTTGAAATGACAGAACTGACCAAACCTTAAGCTAGAATTACCAAGAAAAAAGGAGAGTGGACTTAAAATCAGAAATGAAAGAGGATATGTTACAACCGATACCACAAAAATACAAAAGATAATAGACTCATACAACTCAATGCCAAAAAGACAAAACAATCCTATTAGAAAATGGGAAGATCTGAAAGACACACATGACCAACAGGTACATGAAAAGATGCTCAATCATCATCAGGGAAATGGAAATCAAAACCAAAATGAGGTATCACTTCACACTTGTCAGAAAGGCTATTATCAAAATGATAAGAAATAACAAGTGCTGGCAAGGTTTTGGAGAGAAGGGAATCCTTGTACACTGTTAATAGGAATGTAAGTTGATACAACCAATATGCAAAACAGAATGAAGGTTCCCTAAAAAATTTAAAGTAGATCACATGATCCAGCAACTCCATTTCTGGGCATTTATCCAAGGAAAACAAAAATGCTCATTTTAAAAGACAGGCACCCCCATATTCATTGCAGTATTATTTACAACAGCCAAGCAGAAGTCCATTGATGGATGAAGGGATAAAGAAATTGCAGCATATATACATATATAAACATATATATGCACATGTACACACATGTATATACACACATACACACACAACAGAGTATTATTCAGCCAAAAAAAAAAGAAGGAAATCTTGCCATTTGCAACAACATGGATGTGGACCTGGAGGGCATTATTGCTAAGTGAAATAAATCAGAAAAAGACAAATATCATGTCATCTCTCTTATGACTAAAAAAAATTAAGGTCAAAGACACAACAGATTGATGGTTACAAGATGTGGGTGGGGGGAAGTGGGTACCTTTTTTGATTTAAATGAATTTAATTTAAAAAATTCTTTTTTAATATGTTAGGGTAGACACCAAAATTTCTTCCTGTCTCAGACTAGTGTTCAGCCAATCTGTTACAGTATTATAATAGGCCAAGCTGGTGCTGATAAAAGGTTAACATTTTTAGTAAGTAAAAACATTGTATAAATCCATTTTAAATAAGTTCTCCACATAAAAATAGGGACAGAATAGAAATAAATAACAGAAGAACTATAAACAGCTAATAAACATATGAAAACATTGCTTACCCTCATTGGGAAATAGGGAAATGCAAAATTTAAAGCACAATGAGATATCACTACACATCTAAGAAAATAGCAAAATCCTAAATCCAACAATTCCAAGTATTGGCAAGGAAGGATGCTGTTGATGGAAGTCTACACTGGGCCAATCTTTTGGAAAACTGTCTTTATCTAATAAAACTGAAGTTACACATATTCTGTGAGCTAGCAATTCAATTATTGGGGATATAACCTTTAAAAACTGTGCATATGCACACAGGATACACATAAGTTAATGTTCCTAGTAGCTGTATTTATAATAGCCCCAAACTGGAAACAACACAAATGTTTGTCACTAATAAGATGAATAAATGAATACTTTACAGCAATGAAAACCAACTTCAGCTACACTTAACAACAAATATTCAAAGCAACTGGTCAAAAAGTTATGTGATTCCACTCTCTTAAACTTGAGAAAAAGTAAATGCATACTGCTTAGGGATGCATACACAGGTAGCTAAACAGATATCTCTTGTTTCTTGTATGAAGAGAAGTAAGAATATGATTATCATCAAGGGATAACATTACCTCTAGGGAGGAGGGAAAGGAAGTTTGATTGGGGAGGGGCATATGATAGTCTTCTGAGGTATTGGTAATACTCCATTTCTTGAATTTTGATGTGGTTACACAGATGTTCACTTGAAAATTATTCATTAAACTGCTCATGTTTTATATATCTTTTTATATATGTGTTATCTTTATGTTACCTTGCACATAAAATGGGGGGCAAACATAGGTTACTGAGTTCCACATTTCTAGTTGAAAGGAAAAATTTATTGTACGCTAGGGTGATCAAGCTTTATAGAAGGGAAAAGCTATAAGCTCAGTTTTGAAGATTAAACAACTGAAATTGAAAGGAAAATGTGTCTTTTTTGTATATTCCATAAAGACACAGTTAACCCTACACAACATGGGGGTTAGAGGTGCTGATTCCTGTGCAGTCAAAAATCCATGTACCTTTTTTGACTCCCCCAAAACTTAACTACTAATAGCCTGCTGTTGACTGGAAGCCTTACTGATAACAAATAGTTGGTTAACAAATACTTTTTATGTTATATGTATTTTATATATTGTTTTCCTAGAGTAAAGCTAGAAAAACGTTTTTTCAAATTCTCAAATCTCCAGAAATTTTTCCAATATACTGAAAAAAACTCCATGTAAGTGGACCCTCACAGGTAAAACCTGCATTGTTCAAGAGTCAACTGTACAACTAAGTAAAAAATAAATGCTTAACAAATATTAAGCTGAACCAACTAGAGATAAAGAGTAACTAGAATAGAGGAATAGAGCTTTCATTTGCCTTAAAGTGAAAGGCTCTTGTAATGAAGTATGGAAAATAAAGTTGACAAAAGTGATCAGAGGGCAGTAATTCCTTGCAAGTTTTCAGATTTTCAAAGTACTCTCATATGCCATATCTTACTATGGGAAATATAAGTCATTTAAACTTTTCCACTGGAGATTTGCTGAAAATTTTTGAGTAACAGGAATGAAAGTACTGATTAAAAAAGACTCGTCTAGTGGCAGCAGAATACAACAATAATCCAGATACAAAGTTCTAAGTGCCTGAACTAAGGCAATGATGAGCAGGATTACCATAAAAAATGAATTTCTCGTCTTGATGATTGTTTATGTAGTTATGGGAGGTATCAAAGACAACTAAGAAAATTTAAGCCCAGATGACTCAAAGAAGGCTGATATCACTATCAATCAGGACTCTATATATTTTAAGTCCAAAGGTATTATCAAGAAATGATAAGGGGTATCTAATTAGGAATATTCAGTAAGTGGCTGAAAATATAGAAAAGAACTTAAGGGAGTTCATGATTAGAGATAGTT